TATTCATTTGAAGGCAGCCAACATTATTTTTGGGAGGGTTTTCCCGGTGCCCCGAGGCCACGATGAGGGTCAGCCAGGCGGGTTCCTCTGCTGGAAAGGGACTGGGATGATTCCTGGGAGGGTTTTCCGGGCTCCCCGAGGCCGTGGTGATTAATTCACTTGGAGGGAGCCAAAATGTTTTTTTTTTGGGGGGTCGGGGGGGGCTTTTCCCGGTGGCCCCCCAGGCCGCAGCGAGGGTCATCCCGGCGGGTTTGTCCTCTGGGAAGGCGCTGAGGTGGCTTCTGGGAGGTTTTCCCGGCGCCCTGAGGCCGGGGAGGGGGGCGGGCGGGCGGATTCTCCCGGCGCTGGATCCCGGCAGCCGGAGATGAAGTTGTCACCCGCCGCCTTGATTAGTTATCGCTCCTCCGCCGGCACAAGTTTTCATCGGGAGCACGTTCCGGAGCGCAGCGGTGATGTTCGGGATGAATTAATTCCGGTTGGAGCGCCGTGGGAATCCCTGCCTGCCTCGCCTCTGGAGCCGTGTAGGGATTGAGGAGATTCGTGTCAGGATTCCCGGGCAGGGCCGAGCTGGCGATTCCCGGCCCTGCCTCCTGCTTTATCCGCTTTAATTTATCCCAGATTCCCTGCTCCCACCCCTCTCCCCCCCCTCCTCTCCGTTCGCTGCTGGGGTGGGATGTGAGAATCGGCGTCTCCCCTTGGAATGGGGGCTGGGAGGGGGTTTGGATGCTGATGATAATTCCATTTGGGAATGGTATTATTCCGTTTGGGGATGGAATTATTCCCTGCAGGAGCAGAGCTCAGCAGTCGCTCCAGGGGATGGCTGCTGTTGCCTGGAATGCCGTGCTCAGGGATGGATCCGTGTGCCAGGGGTGGGCAGGACCCCCTCCCAGGCTCCCAGGGGATTTGGGGAGGGGGACATCCCTCTGTCCCAGCTGGAGGACGTGTCCCCCTCCTCTGGGGACAGGGGACTGCAGTGCCCAAGAGGGCTCGTGGGCTTAACACCTCCCCAGCCCCGTAGGAAATAGTTGGAATTCCTTGAAATTCCTGGCGTGTCTGGTGGGCAGGCAGGGAGCTGCTGACATGGGACACCCTCCCTGGCCCTACATGTCCCCAGGGACTGGAGCCCGGGGGGGGATCTTCCCAGCTTCCCAAGAGCCCCGGGCAGCGCTGGCAGCAGGATCTGGAGGAAAATGTAGGAAATGGTTGTTCCCATAGGATCAGAGTGCGGAGAGAAGGGCTGTGACCGAGGCTGGTGGAAAGGGGGGGTGTAGGAGCTCGGGCGGGGGCTCAGGGACCCCTTGGAAGGGGTCACTCCTTCCTGGCCCCTCACCTGCTCCCGATCCTTCCCACAGATCCAACCGGGACTGCCAGATCGACCAGCACCACCGCAACCAATGCCAGTACTGCCGCCTGAAGAAGTGCTTCCGAGTGGGAATGAGGAAGGAAGGTAACAGGGACGAGGGGCGGGGGTGCTTCCCAACCTGGCCTGGGAATCCTTGGGATATCCCTGTTTCCAACAAAACACACACCCCCCCTTTGCCCCTTTTTCTGGTGGTTTTTGGTTTTCCCTCCTCTCCTCGCCCCCCCCACCCCGTGTGTTTTGTTTGGAAAAGCCTTGGGACGCTCCTGGAGCAGGGATCACCTGCTGGGGTGGGCTCCTGGATCCCAGCAGATCCCACAGCCTGCTTTCCTCCCGCTCCCCGTCACCCGGGGGGGGGTGATGTGCGAACCCCAAATGCTTCTGCATCCAGGATGATCCCAAAAAACCTCAGGTTTATCCCCCAAAAATCTCCAATCCCTGGGGCTGGGGCTGTGCCAGGATGGGGCTGGAGATGCTGTGGCTGCTCCGTGGCAGGTGGCATTGACACAGGGAGGAAGAGGGGACGGATGCTGGAAGCAGGACAGTAATTCCCTCTTTTCCAGAGGAGTCGGGATGGCATTATTGCCACTTAGCATGATTTAGAGCTCTCATTTAAGTGCCTCACGAACAGCCCATAAATTAATTACCAGGGATTGAGCAAATACTGGGCACTAATGGGGGTGGGGGGAGCCGAAAAATGGCTCTTCCTGCCTGCAATTAGGAGAGGGAGCTCCGGGGCAACGGCGCTTCCAGGGGGGACGTTTTGTGTGGAAATAAATGATTCCTGCCGTGCCATGACCCCGGGCAGCAACTGCAGCTGGTGTGGGGGGCCCTGTGGTGCCAGCTGGGCACCCAACCTGGCGTGGCTGGGGCCGTGGGTGCTGGTGGAAGCTGATGGATCGCCGAGATATTAAATGGACGAGTGTGGCTCGTGCCACCTCCCTCTCCCCGGGCGCCTCAAAGCTGCTCCTCGTCCCTTGGGATGGCAGGACATGGCCCTGCTGGGGATGTCAGGATAGTGGGAGCATCCTTGTGGTGGGATAAGGCTCTGCTGGGAATGCTGGGGATGTGAGGATGGTGGGAGCATCCTGTGGTAGGATAAGGCTCCCAGCAGAGGCTGGGAATGCTGGGGATGCTGGACAGGTGGTGGGAGCATCCTTGTGGCAGGAGAGGGCTCTGCTGGGAACGCTGGGCAGGTGATGGGAGCATCCTTGTGGTAGGATATGGGAATGCTGGGGTTGCTGGGAATGCTGGGCAGGTGGCAGGAGCATCCTTGTGGTAGGATATGGCCCTGCTGGGGATGTCAGGATGGTGGGAGCATCCTTGTGGCAGGATAGGGCTCTGCTGGGAATGCTGGGCAGGTGATGGGAGCATCCTTGTGGCGGGATATGGGGATACCGGGGCTGTCAGGACAAATGGTGGGAACATCCCCATGGCAGGCTGTGGTGGGTGGGCGGTGGGACCACCCAATCCTTCCCCACCCTTCCCGTGGGCACTGGGAACGCCGGGAGCGGGCCGGGATTACCCGGCAGGACCCACCCACCCCTCCTCTCGTCCCGCAGCCGTGCAGCGGGGCCGGATCCCCCCGAGCCACTCCAGCACCAGCCCCAACACCATCCCCAGCGGGGAATACTTCAACGGGCAGCCGGTGTCGGAGCTCATCTCGCAGCTGCTGCGGGCTGAGCCCTACCCGGCCGCCCGCTACGGCTCCCAGTACGCGCAGCAGGGCAGCGTGATGGGCATCGACAACATCTGCGAGCTGGCCGCCCGCCTGCTCTTCAGCACCGTGGAGTGGGCCCGCAACATCCCCTTCTTCCCGGAGCTGCCCGTGTCCGACCAAGTGGCGCTGCTGCGGCTCAGCTGGAGCGAGCTGTTCGTGCTGAACGCGGCGCAGTCGGCGCTGCCGCTCCACATGGCCCCGCTGCTGGCGGCCGCCGGCTTCCACGCCTCGCCCATGTCCGCCGACCGCGTCGTCTCCTTCATGGACCAGATCCGCATCTTCCAGGACCAGGTGGAGAAGCTCAACCGGCTCCAGGTGGACTCGGCCGAGTACAGCTGCCTCAAAGCCATCGCGCTCTTCACGCCCGGTACGTCGGCGGTGCCGGGGGGGGTTTGGGCCGGGCTGGGCGTGGGAGCGACCAGGGAGGGGGTGTCCGCTGTTTTCCTGGGGGTTTGGGGTCCAGGGAGTGTCTGGAAGAGGGCAGAGGGACCTCCTTACCCGGTGCTTCACCGTGCGTTGTAGCGTCCCAGCGTGTCCGTCTGGATGCAGGGATGAGCTTCCCGGGGTGATGGGAATGGGATCTGCAGGAATGCAAATACCCCCTGGAAAACAGGGAGGTGGGAGCCTCGTCCCTTGGTCCATCCATGCTCTTCCCGTGCCACAGAGGTGGTTTTGGGGTCCAGGGAGCATCCGGGTCCTGTTCCCTGGTACTTTTCCCCTGTGGCGTGTTGCATCCTGGGTTTCTCTGGGTACAGGGATGAGCCTCCCCAGGGTGGTGGGAACAGAACAGATCTATAGGAACACAGATACCCTCAGGGAAATGGAGGGGGACCTTGGGGAACCCCATCCCTTGGTCCCTTCCGTGCCCATCCCACGCTGCAGCAGCGGCCCTGGGCTCCGGGGTTCATCCGGAGGTGGCAGAGGGTCCTCGTTCCCCGGCGCTTCACCACCATGGTTTTGGTCATCCCGGCGCGTCCATCTGGGTGCAGGGACGAGCGTTCCCTGCAGGAATGCAAACACCCCCTGGAAAACCATGAGGGTCTCACCCCTCGCTCCATCCATGCCCATCCCACACCGTGGAGTTGCCCGGTCCTTGCCGGCGCCACCACACCGGGCGGGAATTCGGGGGGGTGCTGCTGTCTGGGGGCATCTCCAACCGGTGCTCCCCGTTGCCTTGCAGACGCCTGCGGGCTGTCGGACCCGGCGCACGTGGAGGGGCTGCAGGAGAAGGCTCAGGTGGCCCTGACGGAGTACGTGCGCTCCCAGTACCCGTCGCAGCCGCAGCGCTTCGGGCGGCTCCTCCTGCGGCTGCCGGCGCTCCGGGCCGTGCCCGCTGCCCTCATCTCCCAGCTCTTCTTCATGAGGCTCGTGGGCAAGACGCCCATCGAGACGCTAATCAGGGACATGCTGCTGTCCGGGAGCACCTTCAACTGGCCCTACGGGACGGGGCAGTAGGGACGGAGCGCTGGGGGGGGGGACGTCCCGGGATCGCCCCCACAGCTGGACGTGGATTCGTTCCCGTGGTGTCCCCGGGGTGTAACTGTGCTGGCCCTCGGCCTCAGAGCTCTGTCTGCCACAGGAGGGGGCCCTGCTCCCCGCGGGAGCTGTGGGGTCACGGTGGTGTCCCCCAAAAAGAAGCGGGGGCGTGGCGTTGTCCCCCTGAATCCGAAGGTACTCCCCGTGTCGCCGCCGTTGGACACCGGACTGTTCTGGACCCCGTGGAGCTTCCCGACCCCACCCTGGTTCCCCCCCTCCCAGGGACTTTGGAGCATCCCCAGGGCTGGTTCCTCTCCCAACTGTGGAACTCGGAGCATCCCAAGGGACCTTGGAGCACCCCCGGGGCTGGTCCCTCCCTCTGCCTCTGTGCTGGAGCCCCAGGGAAGGGGGATCCCATCCCCTTCGCTCCCCCAAATCTGGATTTCAGATGTCGGAAGGCTCAGGCAGGAGGCGGTGGGAGATGGGACCAGCCAGGCTGGGACCCCTGGCTCTGTCGCCCCCCCACTCCAGTCCTGGGAATCATGGAAAAAAGGGTCATTTTAGAACCCCTTTGTGCCCACCAGGCCAGATCCAGCCTCGAGGACTGATGTGCTGAGCTTGGAGCAGCCCCCTTTTGGGGCTGATCCCACCTTCCACTGAAGCGTCTCCGGCGTGGGGGCACTGGGAGGACATGGGGACAGAATGGGGGTCACAGGAGGGGCTGGGGGAGTTTTTTGGAGTGTGAACAGCACCCAGCCCTTCCCCCTGGGCTCATTCCTGCTTTTCCCTCCCTCAGGCCAAACCCAGCACCCCCCACCCTCCCCACAGCGGGGGGGTGGGTGCCAGCAGCCCCCTCCCCATGGTCCTTGCCTCCCTGGGGGGGTTTTTAAGCCACATTTGGGCGAGAAAGGAGATTTTGGGGGACCAAAATCAGGCTGGAAAGGGGTGATGCTGCTGAAGGGGGGGTCCCCAGGGCTGGAGGGGGCACATGGAAGCGGGGGGGGTGGGCACAGCCAGCCAGGAGGGATCAGGGGGGTCCCCCCCCCTTGGTGTGACAGACGGCGTCAGGATTAGCCGGGATTTGGCATTTAGGTTGATTCACTGAAAATATAATCCTTGTTCAATGATACTAAACAAATGAATTAAGTCAATAAAAGATGTTTCTTACAGCCCCGGGGGTCTGGTGTGAGCAGAGATTTGGGAGGGGGGGGCTCATCACCCACCCCGGGGGGATGGAGCCAAGTGAGGGGTGTGATCCCTGCCCCCAAAAAAATGGAACCCCCTGTAAAACATCTAAAATTGGATGTTTTATGGGTAATCTGGGGATTTGGGGGGGGCTCCTGGGGGGTGGTGGTTAATGGGGGGGGGGGGTGTCCCTTGGGAATAAATCCTGCTGAGGCAGAGCTGGATCAGCAGGAGGGAGGGGAGGAGTCAGCACAGGGGTTGGGATTGGGGCTTTTGGGAGGGGGTTGGTGTTCCCCCTTTCAAGGTGGGGTGGTTTGGGGGACTCCTCCCCCAACCCCATAACCCCCCCCAAGCCCCTTTCACACCGACCCTGATTTAAAATCAATAGATACACTTCATTTATTTTAAAAAAAAAAAAATTGAAATATTACACAGTTTCAAAGAGTTCCTTATAAAATATCACCGGGAGGGGTCCCCAAAGGGGTTCTT